ATCATAGGATGTAGAATAGATTTGAACCCGGAAACGTTTTTACTAGGCATGAAACCAGAGAACTTGAACAAATCTAATTGGTATCTCGCTCTCCACATCATCATTGCAGCCAGGATCTCGTTCGCGCAAGAATGGAAATCCAAAAATATCCCATCGGAGGCTACATTAATTGCAAAGTTCATGGACTGTGCAGAAGCAGACAAGCAGAAGTCCAGACAAGTTTACTGGACTTTTGCGAGATAGACAAGAATCGGGGTTATATAGGAGCTGGGACAGATGGTATGCTTGGCTGCAAAAAAAGAAATCTTAAGAAGAATGAAAATATTAACCTTAATGTGAATGTGGGTAAATATTTATAGGAGCATTGCATGACAGTTGAGAATTCTTTCTCCTGGATAAACTTTTCTTTCTTTTGATGAGTTGGCTTAATGGAGGTTTGTACTTTCTCTAGGCGAAAATTGATACTTTAAAACTCTATATGTATTATATTACTCTCTGCAATTCTATCCATATTGTTATACTTTTTTTTCTGTATTTTTTAAATAATTTTCAATAAAAATTAAAAAAAGAAAAGAAAGAAAGAAAGAATCAGGGATGTTAAAAGAATAATCCCTGCAGAGACTCAAATCTCAATAATAACATGGGCCTCATTTTGTGGCTCCATAGAGTCTTGGGGGCTGTAAGGGTTGCAAAAGTGTAAATAGGGCATCTAGGTTCATAGGCAATGCGATCCACATCATAGAAATGATTTTTGCTTCATTCTTTTAAATTGCTTCATGGCAGGATTAAATTGGGTCTAAAATAAAGATGACCCACATCTGAAGTCCCAAAGAAGCCAATCAGTATAGAATAGGGTGGCTAATTTGAGACATTCATGTGTTGCTTAATCACACTTTCCAGCAGCATCAACTAGTATGAATAATAATAATAATAATAATAATAATAATAATAATAATAATAATAATAATAATAATAATAAAACAACTTTATTGTCATTGTACATGTATACACAGTATACCCATACAACGCAATTCACTTAACACCCGAAGACCAGGTCCAATGCACATAACAATCCCCAAACACATTCCCACCCACCACAAATTCCCCACCCCTAAACCACCCAAGCATCCACACAACAGACCAAGTAATACTGTCCAACAGCTCACTGATGGTGGCCCTTCAGTTCATTGTTGAGTGCAATTATAGCTCTGGGATAAAAACTATTCAGAAAACGTGTGGTCTGAGTTTTAATTGTTCTGTTCTGTTTAATTGTTAACAGTGAGGAATGCTGAGAGTGGTAACCCAGGAACAATCTGAGTTACCCAGTCTTGGTGCTATGAATAATACTGAACTAGCTGGAATAATGATCTCACAATTTAAGATTTTTTTTAAAGAAAAAAATCCTTCCTCATACATAGATGTAGCAATGAAACTAATAAATGTAGTTGCAAAGCAAGAGTAAAATGCGGTCTAATGGTGAACTATTGATAGATGTGGGGAAGATATAAAAATTGACATAAATATACACTAGAATCCATGGTGGAAGCCATCCCCATGCAATAGCCTTACTTAGCAGCTATGTGCAAAGTTTAATCAGATATACAATATTTTGATAGTGGATTAACCTGACCTTTTGAAGGGGTACAATCAGCTTTTTCCCCCTTCATTTTTTAATATAAATCCTTCTCTCTTGTCCTAATTTTGAAATAATTTAAGAATTTTTTCCCTTAATCCATTCTATAAATGTTTTTGTTAATGCTAATTCTAAGCAGTATATGTAGATATTTGCTACAGCTGTGCATATGGAGAATCTCTTTTGGAGATTATTGGATTAACATTTTTGGAGATTACCTAGAAAATCTGAGGCACAGTTGTGTTGTAGTTGTCAAAGAGCCAGCTTTGGATTTTTAAAGTTTTTTTAAAGCTCTGATTACACTTGATTTGTCTGAAAGGCTCCAAAATAAAGTAGCTAAAATTTTCTTCTTGTTCAGATAGTTCTAATAGGATTACATTATCTTTCAGGTACTACGTCTTTAAAGTAATACATTAAATCCCAAGATCCTGCATCTGTTTTCCACAGCTTCTCAATACAGTGCTATCAAAAATTATAACTTTATCATTGTTCAACTCACCATTATATATTAACTTTTTTTTTCATTCTTGATGTATTCCTGGAAAAAATAAATAATATCATGCTACACATGATAGGACCAATTGCTATTTCAAGGAATTTTGGAAAGCTACCTCTAATAATTTATCTAAATTTGTTAGGTTTATATTCTACAGCTTGCTAATAGAATCCTGATTCAGAATTCTGAGCAGAAGGTGTGAATAGGTGAACTATTCACAGTTCTACAGTCCTACAGTCCTGAGATCTTAGCATCTGGTGAAGTAGAAAGAAAAATCAATTTGTCTAACTCTTTTAGTACACTTCATTTTTTCTCAGGCCCCTTAATACAAAACTCAAAGTTGCCATGCAACCAGTGGTGGGTTTCTACCAGTTTGCCCCATTTCGGGCGAACCAGTAGTGGTGGCGGTGGCGGGAGGCTCCACCCACCTGCCCAGACGTCATCACGGACGCTCTGTGCATGTGTTTATATCAGATGCAGAGAAGGTCCTCCATGCTCCATCACTTGAGGTTTTCAAGAAGAGACTAGACAGCCATTTGTCTGGAATAGTATAGGATCTCTTGCTTGAGCAGGAGGTTGGACTAGAAGACCTCCAAGATGCCTCCCAACCCTATTATTCTATGTTCTAAGAATAAAGGAAGGTTTTTCGTTTTTTCAGCAAAATAATATTTTTCTAATACAGGTGCCCAGAGTTAGCTGGAGTTGGGCGGTGCCTAAACTGAATTAAATAAATAGAAAGACACTGCATGAAAAATATATAGAGAGTATAAAGCCTTTCTGACAACAACATGCCTTTGTTCCCTCACTGAGATGACAACAGTCTCTGCAATATTTCTTTCATTTATGATGCCAGAATCAAGGGAATAATAAAGTATTTCTTTTTCATCACATCAAACCAAGGATTTATGTTCTCTACAAGTGCTTACAAGCAATTTTACATGCTCTTATAAGAGGGTAAATTCCATGTAAATCTGTGGAAAATACACATCACAAAGTTACTACCACCTCTCCTTTCAAATTCCTTAATCTCAAACTAGCCTAAATATAATTAACACATGAGCGCTTTTCCATACTTATCACTTGTTTTCAAAACCCTTAAAATTAATTAACAGCTGCATAAAATACATCTCATATAATAAGGTAGTGTAGGATAAGAGAAACTAAGCAGTGACATCTCTGTACAGCTCAGATAAATAATTGCAGAGTTGAATTCTCTGTAACATCCCAACTTTTTCTACCATTATGAAAGGCCCTAATCAGCGGTGGGTTCCTCCCGGTTCCACCCAGTTCCGCCGAGCCGGTAGCGCTGATGATATGACGTCACCGAACCGGTTCCGCCCCCCCACCCCCCGCGTTATTCTTACCTTTTATTTGGCCCCACCCCCAATCTATTGCTGCCTCCTGAGTCCCAGCTGATGGGCTATAAGGAAAAAAACTGTTTAAACTCTTGCCGCGGGGCTTCAAAGGGCCGCCCTACAGCTGATCAGTGGTAAAAGGCAGTTTGGTGACCAGTGCCTGCAAAAATACATGAATAGACCAGTGCCGTGCAAAAATAAATGGGTAGACCAGTGCCTGCAAAAATACATGAGTAGACTGATGCCTGCAAAAATAAATGGGTAGACCAGTGCCCGCAAAAATACATGAGTAGACCAGTGCCTGCAAAAATAAATGGGTAGACTGGTACAACTCTGCAAGCAGTTAAAAACCTGGTAGACCAGTACCTCTGCTAAATCCTAAAGAATTGTCACATGACCATCAAGCCATGCCCACAAAATAAGCCACACCCATAAAATAAGCCACGCCCACAGAACCGGTAGTAAAAAATTTTAGAACCCACCCCTGGCTCTAAATTAAGAACTCTGTCCACAGTTTCTTTTAACTCATATGAGGACAAAGTGGTTGACAGAAAAGCTAATAATAATAATAATAATAATAATAATAATAATAATAATAATAATAAAGAAGAAGAAGAAGAAGAGAAGAAGAAGAAGAAGAAGAAGTTGAGCGACTGTGGAAAAAGAAATCGTGTGTTGTCCCGATTGTAATTGGAGCCCTTGGAGCAATACCCAAAGGGCTACCCCGCTATTTAGAAATTCTAAATTTGCCGGACTTGAACATTTTGACTCTACAAAAAACCACCTTACTCGGAACAGCTTACATCCTCCGACGATACCTTAACAGTTCCTAGGTCCTTGGTTAGGACTCGAGCTGCTGAGCTATTAACCAGCCTCAAAGGCTGTGAATCTCACTAAAGATTAACCAATAAATAATAATAATAATAATAATAATAATAATAATAATAATAATAATAATAATAACCCACAATGACTTATTATAACCTGTCATCCTACAGATGTCCTGGCTTGAAACTGCCAGAATTTCAAAATTTTAAACTTCAACTAGCAATGGGATAGGGTGAGGTGGGAGCCTGGCATGGGTCTGTTGCATGCATCTGAGAAATATGGTTGTGAGACACCAAGTTTTTGTTTGTACTGTTTTGTTTTAGCGTTGGTGTGAGCCAGCCAGAGTTGTTTCCTTAGGATAGGCAGCCATACCAATATTGCAAATACATACATGCATATGCACAGGCACATTATTTTCATACTTGAAGTCCTATTCAACAATTTCCCTTTAGATATTTAAAAGCTTGGAAAGAGAGAGTGGAGCTATGGCCATTGCTCTTTCAATGGGTTATTAATCTTCATCCTCCATGTGTTGAGGTGACATCTGCAGTATGCGTTTCAATCTATGTTGTGAAGCTCTTGTCATGGACAGTTGGTGAGCCACACGGAAGGGACCACATGGTGATAGACTTGGTCATGATCATATTCGATGAGGCTTCTATTTAAAAAAAAACCGTATATAACTTACCTATCCTCAAGTTGCTTCTGTTTAAATTTCGGATGTCATGCCATGGCTTTGCCGCATCCATAATGCCAGTAGTTCTTCAACGTCTGCCATACTTGAGCATTTCTAACTTTAATATCAAAGTGGGTTTTGTTGCATGCTGCTGAACCTGTGTGCTTTAAGAGAGAGGAGGGGGGGAGAGATATTGAGATTTCATGAGCTGTTCAGAGGGAACTAGCATATACATTTGCAAAGCTAAACACAATGCATTGAAAATAGGTCCTAATAAATTACTTTTCCAACATACTTGTAAAAAAAAAAAATTAACATGAATGATAATGTTGCTTATTTGCAGGGCTATCCATAAACAAGACATGTTTGTGGGATCAAATTCACTTATAGATATTGTTAGGGATGATTGAGAGTTTAGAATTCAAACTAAACCAACCAGACATAATTTGGAGAACATCTAGCCTTCAAAAAGGGCCTGGTGGCTCAGCAGACTGATAGCATTGTGATTAAGACCAGGTGTCTGCAATTACTGTAGGTTCGAATCTCACCAGGCTCAAGGTTGACTCAGCCTTCCATCCTTTCTAAGGTAGGTAAATTGAGGACCCAGTTTGTGGGGGCAATAAGCTGACTTTGTATAAATATACAAAAGTATGAAGGCTATTGCTTAACACATTGTAAGCCACCCTGAGTCTCTGGAGAAGGGCGGCATATAAATCAAATAAAAAAAAAAAACCTGGCAAATCCATAGATGTGCTAGGACACATCTAGAACCTCTAGAATTTCCCAGCTGAGCATTCAGTTGGAATACCAACACAACTGGATGATATTTGGCTGAGAAAGGCTGGTTATAATTTGTCAAAGGCATCTTACAATTTGCCACCTTCACAAGTGACTTTTGAGGTGGGACTAAATTTTTTAAATTGCTTTCTTGTCTTTGGATCTCAGAAGGAAATTCCCCCTTGGTCTGCAGTTCTACAACATATATCACAAACCAGAGACGTTATAATGGTTTGTGAGAATGACTTTGGGAGACAGGGGGAAGAGTCACAGCAAGGAAACCATCAGATAAGAGGCAGCTTACTGCAGGAAAGTGGACATGATGAATGTTTCAGAAGAGATTCTCCTTAATCTCATGGGCTGTAAAAGCAACAGGGGAGACTTGCAATATTGATTTCAGCCTAGTGAGGTAACCTGGACTGGAAACACAACCAAATGAATAGTAATTCTATTTTATTGTAAAGTTACATTAACACAAACTTGAAAATCTAATAAAGGAGAATGTTTGTAGCTCAGGGCTGACATGAGGGTCCTTAGTGCTCTCTGAGCTTGCTTGTTCTCTTGCAGATGTTTCATTACCCAAACTAGGTAACATCATCAGTGCTAGATTAGCACCTAGTTTGAGTAATGAAACATCTGCAAGAAAATCCCAAAGGTTGCTTTTTCAAGAGGCAACTGGACTTCCTGGTTTGACATGACTGGACAGAGCTGAAGAAGTTTTTTGGATGAGAAGCGAAATGTCTTCAAAGAAAAACAAGAAAGTCCAGTTGCTTCTTGAAAAAGCACCTTTGGGACAACCATGACCTGGGTGACTGAAAATCTCCACAGACATCTGCAAGAAAACAAGCAAGCTCAACAACCTCTTACTTGAAAGTCTGAAAGTACATCTCTATCCCCAAGCCTTGCCTTTACAGGCCAAGAAATTAAACAGAGTCCTTTCTGCGATATTTGCCCATTACTTCTGTGGGCTAAGCTGTCTCTTCACTGACAGGTCCCCTGGCTGTGGCTCTTTCCCATGTACCAAGGTCATTAATTTAATTTAATTTAATTAATTCAATTTATATGCCGCCCCTCTCCGAAGACTCAAGGTGGCTCACAATACATTTTTAAAAAATCATTATAAAAAACATTTAAAAATTAAAAACATTAAAAACATTAAAAACTCATTCACGCCATTCATGGCCGGATCTCGCCAGATCACAAGAGCGAGATCAACGGCCCCAGGCCTGCTGGAAAAGCCAAGTCTTCACCGCTTTACGGAAGGCCAATAGGGTGGGGATGGTCCGGACCTCAGGAGGTAACTGGTTCCAGAGAGCTAGGGCAGCCACAGAGAAGGCCCTCCCCCGCGGGCCCGCCATTCCTACCTACCATTAAAAATGTCTACCACACAGACAGCCAGACCTCCCACACAGAAAGCTACATTAACAGTTTGTGGAATGCTGTAATTATTCATGCCCTGATGTAAATTTGAAGCCTGCTCTGCTTTTCCTTAGAGCATGCCACCTTCTATTAACGCGTCAGGCATTTTAAATGAAAGCAACTCATAATTTGCCTCAAAATGTGTAAACTTCATTAAAAAGCAGCAATTTAGTTTGCCGAAGATTTCTCTCTCTTTCTCCCTGGTTCTTTCCAAAGCTAAGGCAGCATGTGGAAGAGATATGAATAGAGGGATGTTTACTTTGATAAAGGCCCCTGCTTGCTTGCTCTTTATTTCGGTTAGCTTGGAGGGGAAGGACAAACCATCAAAGAGAGAGTCTAATTTACAAGAAGAGAAGAATGCCCACTGTGGACCAGCAGGCTTTTATCATCTTGAAGAAAGGTGACCGGGTTTCAGGAAGACAGATGCACACTGCTCCAATTTACAACTAGAAGGAAAAATCAAGGTGTGTGATGAGGCCCAAGTAGCAAGGAAGGAGCCTTTCCAACAGGCTTTTTCCCGAACAAGTAAATAATTCTATTCTAATGACAATAATAAGATACTCATCTTTAAATTAAGCCTAGCAAGTAGGAAGAGCTTCCACAGATGTTGCATATCCATGCCCTGACAAAGATATAGGTTGTTTTTAATTGTTTATTTTTTTTCCTTTGTATTTCAATGCTTAGCAAAATGAAATGGAAAAGGGGTGAATGTAAAAAAAGGCGAAAGATTTATACGATCTGAAGAGAAACCAGAGTAGGCTGATCTCCTTACTTAATACGGACTATAAAATATTTATGGGAATTTTAGCAGGTAGGATGAAGATAGTACTAAATAATTGGATCCACCCTGACCAAAACGGGTTCCTCCCCGGCAGACAGATTAGAACTAAAATGAGAGTGGTGATGGATGTGCTGGAGTATTATGAAACACACTTTGAGAAACAGCTGGCCTTGGTCTTCCTTGACGCTCAGAAGGCCTTTGACAATCTAAATTGGGGATTTATAAGCCAGCAAATCAAATTTTGGGGGGATACTTTGAGAATGCGATAAAAACAATCTATGATAAGCAGAGTGCAAAGATTATACTGAATGGAGATATGACCAAAAGTTTCTGGATTGGTAAAGGGGTAAGACAAGGCTGCCCACTCTCTCCACTCTTATTTATATTAGCTCTGGAGGTATTGCTAAGGAAAATTAGGCAAAATAACGAGATACGTGGATTGGAAATTAAGAATGAAACTTTTAAGATTCAAGCTTTTGCCGATGATGTAGCGCTGATTATGGAGGACCCGTCAACAACCAGGCCAAAAGTATTGAAAGAATTAGACGAGTATGGGAAACTATCTGGATTCAAATTAAATATGACAAAAACTAAAATGTTAACAAAAAATATCCCAATAAGAGAACAGGAAATATTAGTAGAAAATTTGGGCATCCAAATAGTTAAGAAGATAAAATATTTAGGGATTTGGATTACTGCTAGATGCTCAACTTTAAAGGAGGATAATTATATACCCTTATTGACAAAGATCAAGCAAGATTTGGAACGTTGGGGGAAGTTGCAAATATCGTTTCTTGGTAGAATAGCCACCATTAAGATGAGTATTCTCCCCAAATTAATATACTTGTTTCAAACCACTCCTGTTAGTATTGATAAAAAATATTTTTCGGATCTAAATGGGATAGTAAGGAAATTTATTTGGGGAGGGAAAAAAACGAGAATTGCATTACGGTCATTGCAGGAAAAAAGGAATAAAGGCGGATTCGGCCTCCCAGTTTGGGAGCTATACCATAAAGCAGCCAACTTAGTATGGCTACGAGAGTGGGCCTCATTAAGAGACAAAAGAATTTTACAACTGGAAGGGCACGACCTATTGAGAGGTTGGCATGCCTATCTCTGGGATAAAGGAAAGGGGGCAGTGATATGTTCCCACCGACACAAAATTAGAGATACATTAATGAAGACATGGAAAGAAATTAGGCATAAACATTATTCAAAAATCCCAAAATGGATCTCTACAATGGAGGCAATGATTCATCCAAACACAATAAGTAGAGAGAATATGTTCACCTATCAAGACATTTTAGATAACAGTGGTAACCTTAAACCCAATGAGATTTTAAAAGAGCAAGGGATTCATATTGATTGGTGGCCTTATTTACAAATTAAATCCCGATATAGTAAAGATAAACAGGATAAGGGAATAGAGACGGGGACAAATAGTTTTGATAAGGTATGGCTAGGCAGTGAGAATAAACTATTAGCTAAACTATACTCCTACCTGCTCGAATATGATAGAGAAGGAGAAATATTAAAAGACCAAATGATTGCTTGGGGAAGAAATATCGACTCAAAGATAAATCTAGATGATTGGGAAGAAATATGGAACAGCAATCTTAAACTGACGAGAGCAACAAGCTATAAGGAGAATCAGTATAAGATGCTGTATAGATGGCACCTAGCACCATCTAGAATTGCAAAGATATATCCAAATGCAAGCTCCAAGTGTTGGAAATGCGGCCACGATCAAGGTACCTTCTACCACATGTGGTGGACGTGTCCGGAAGCGAGGAAGTTTTGGAAAAAAATACAAAAATGGATCCAAGAAATATTAAATGAGGATATCAACTTTTTGCCTGAAATTTATCTTCTGGGAGTCCTAAAACGAACATTTGTTAAGGATAAGAAATATCTAATTATTCATATTGTCACAGCCGCTAGACTCTCCTATGCCAGATATTGGAAAGAGAAAAGAGGTCCAACTGAGGAACAGATAGTCAATAAGGTACTGGACTGTGCAGAAATGTGCAGATTAACGTATGTGTTAAACGGAAAGGAGGATTCAGAATTTTACACGATTTGGGATCTGTGGTATAGGTGGTTGCAAAATAAATGCAAAAGTTAATACTTATGAGGAACAATGTACAACTACTAATCAATCCTATATATTATTGTATCATAATTTAG